TGCTATTACAGGACGAGTGTTTGATTTAATCCAATCGTTTCTATTAACTCGTGAAATAAAGGTCGTTTTGATCGGGCTTGATTCCAGATCCTTTCACACGAACGCGGGTATATCTTCCAAGGCTCTATTCTACGTCCTGCACTGTTTCTGATCTTTGTCAATGCTCTTACTGATGTCATCAGCACCCAAGTAGGCATTTATGCAGATGGCATTTACTCCTGTCTCAATAGCAAATCTTTTAACCTGGCCGTACTCTTGAAAATGATCTCAAATCAATGGTTAACTGGGACAGGAAATGGCTTATAAATTTTAATGCCTCCATAAGAAAATCGCCATAGAGAAACTTCCCTGACCGCCATCAGCATGGCGGTGCTAGACTCGTGGAGAGCAACACATTGTGCCTTCTTGGCTTTACGTTTTCAACTGACTTGAAGTGGAATGCATACATCGAAACAATAGCTGCATCTACTACGTTACTTTGTCGTGCCTGAAAGATTTTCTCGTCAAAGTCCACCTTTTACATTTACAAATTTACCATTCGTCCGCACATTGAATACTGCTGCCATATCTGGTCTGGTGCTCCTGCTATTCATTTCGTGGTTCTTGACAAAATCCAAAGAAGGATCTGCAATGTGATCGATCCTGACTTGGCATTTCGACTTCAGTCACTTTCTCACAGACGCGACGTGCCTTCCCTCTGCCTTTTCTACAAATATTTTCATGGCAGCTGTTCTGTCGTGATTTTTTCCCTCTTGACCCGACTACATGAATTTAAGCGTGCTACCAGATTGGTCAGGTACCAATCTAGTAACACTGATTGGTATCTATTTTCACCTGATCTAGTTTCCTACCCTTTTACTGCTGCAATCGTTAAATATAACCACTACTTCCACTTCAACAATATCTCTTCTCGTCTTATCGGCTGTGGAACTCCCGTTTACGTCCCTGATAACTACAATCTTCAAAGATTTAAATGCAATATCAATCGCCATCTTCTCTCTTCTTAAATCCCGTTCATCTTTTATCCTTTCCTTAATTCCCCATATACCCAATCTTTTCTCTCACTTTCACTGCTTACTAGTCTTGTTTGAAATGATTAAAATTTTCATAATTCATGAATATATATATATATATATATATATATATATATATATATACTATATATATATATAAGTTTATTATTTATTATATTTTTAGTTTCTTCATTATATTTTTTAGTCCTTCTCTCTTTTTTCTCTCTCTTTATCTGTGTGTATGTATGTGTGCGCATATTTTGTAATAAAAGAATCGCTCTTTGTGTATGTATGTGAGTGTATTTTTGCGCGCGTGTGTTTCAAATAAACAAAAACTATTCAAGATTCAATGATTCGTTTTATCTTTAATTTTCACTTCCAGGAAAGTTGTTAGATTTGGCTCAATATTCACATGTGTCGCCAAATGAATGATACCACAGACATAATAAAAATAGATTAAAAACCTGAAAACGATACGACACGCACATGAGTATAAGAGTCGGACATTTTTTATCCTCGTGCACAAACCAATAGTTTATATAATATTCATTGTCTATTTTGTCGCTGATGTTACATTAAACTATGAAGGTTGAATGCATAATTGCGTCATCGAAACAGTGGCAGTAACCTTTCCATAGTCTAGTATTCCTGCTTTATTAAGCTTGATCCCAATCGTATCTTAAGTAACAACATACTCAGTTCTTAATCAAGAGTGTTTAGAGAGATTTAAAGTTATTTTTCACTTTACATCACAAGATGTTAACTCCTTCTCGTCGTTTTCTATAAAGAGAATCATCTATTTGACTACTGAATTATTCTTCACAATGTTCGGTGTCGAAAGTTGTTGAAACAATTCATCCACTCAGGACAGTGTCTATTTGTATGTGCGTTTATGTGCGTGTACGTGTGTATGTGTGCATATGCGTGTGTACGTGTGGAGAGTGTAACGGTTAGCGACTCTAAAAGAGAAATTGGTGAACCGAGTTCGAATTCCTGCCTAATTCTTCACATTTTACCTTCATAAAAATGTCCTTGGGAAAGAAATGAATCTTTCTCTCCTCTCACCTATGGATTAAACAGTAGGAGCCAACACCAAAGGCAGGAAAACTAAAAAAATTGTTGCATGTATTCCAAGAGGAAACTCTTTACAAAATCTATGACTGCTATTGGAACATCTGCAATTATCGATGCTACAAGTTTTTTGCTTAGTGTCTCAATACGCCACATAATCGATAGAAATTATGTTGTTGGGGTCCATTTTGCCACTTGACGTTTGAAAGAAACAAGACTAATTTGTCAATTAGTAAAAGAAGATATTTTTATCTATTTAAGCTAATTTAGCATTGACATAGCTTTTATTGTCGCTGTCATTGAACTATTCTTCTTTTTTAATCATCTCGTTGCAAGCAACACGATAAAACTATTAAATGCAAAAACTGTTACTGAGAGTGAAAGAAACAGAGGAAAATGCAAGAACAACATTCAAGGAGACAGAAGAAGATGGTTGACAGTGCATTTAAAATTTTTGAAGATCGTAGTTCAACTGTTGTCTTATGAGACCTATCTGCCAATCTAGTAGTGTGTTTAAATTCGTGAAGTCAACGTACCAAAGAAGAAAGTTCATCAGAACAATTACCATGAAAATATTTATAGAATAGTTATAAGGACACTTAGTTACGGCGGTAGGAATGTGACTGAAGCCGAGATGCCTAGTCAGAACCGATAACGTAAAAGATTAGTTTTTGATTTTGATAAGAATCTCTAGATATATAGCAAAAGCACTAGACCAGATGTGGCAGCTATATTTACGAATGATAGACTTATACATGTGCATGATACTGGCGAGAAAATTGTTTAGCACGACAAAGTGAACCGACTTTCCAAGCAGCAGACTTAACAGTTGATTCAACATAATCGTTCCACTTCATGTCAGTGTAAACGGGGAAATCAAGAGGCCGCAGTGAGTTGCTCTACTGGAGGTTAGCATCAGCCATATTGATAGAAAGCAAAAAAAATTGTTCGTTAAGATGATCAATAGAGAGAAGTTTCGTTTTGGAGGCGTCAAAATTAACTTAATTCTTGATCCAGTTAACAACAGACCGGAAGTCATTTTCGAGATAAGCTGCCAATTTGATTTTATTGAACTTATCAGACTTACTATTAAGACAGAAGTAAATAGTTGTGTCATCAACATAGATACCAAGTTAGGAACTGATGACATTGCAAAGGTCATTGATGAAAATAAGGATCAAAATAAATCCAAGAGATACATTGCATTATCGAAAAAAATCTAGAGTACTGTCCGTTCAATACAACTTACATTATATGGTTTGATAAGAAAATCAAGGAAACTGACAGTCTGACACACCCTGTTAAATGTCTTCTCTATTCTTATCTAAAGCTTAACAAACTCTTTCAAAAATAACTACCAGCACATCAGAAGACAGTGCGAGGTGAGATGCCTAATCAACCCCCGGAACTGATTAGCGCCTCCAGTATTTTGCCAAAAGTTGTAAAAGACTACCAGTCGATAATTGGAAGGATCAGATGGTTCACCAGATTTCAAAACCATGTACTACAGAAGAGTATTTTCAGCAATCTGGAAAGCAAGAATCAGCAAAGCAACTATTATAGAGCTTGGAGAAAAAAGGTATCAGTTCAGACGTACATTACTTGAGAACAATCGAGTTCCCAAGGTTTGTATTGAGCAACTTTGGAGATGATAGCGGAAACCATGGACGGAGTCAAATGTACATCCTACAGTAGAGACTGTACTAGATGAAAAGCCAGGTACTCTTGGTGTGTCGACAGTAGAAATGGAAGAGAATTTACAAGCAAAGCAAGGAGGAGGGGTTGCGGACTTGCCTTATTGAAGATTTAACACATTCTTACAGGGTCACCAATAGTCACCACAACCGAAATTATGAGAGGCTATACAGCGAACAACAATTTTGAGGACACTTTTACAAATATTACAGAAATTAGGAGATGTCTTTGGTAATCAGGGCTATCATATTGATATAGCTGTAAAAATTGCTTTCCTTTGGATTATAGTAGCAGAACAAGCAGGTTAGAACTAAAGAAAAGGTTGTGGTTTTATCTAATTACTTCAAATCAGTACAGTGACAAGAGAAAAACTCATCTTAATAGGGGGTTCGTGTCTAATAGACGATTCAAAGGAAATATCAACAGATACTGCAGTGTGATACGAATTGCCTGGAGGACAGAGTTGCAAGGTGCGAGGAAGTAATAAATAAATTGAGTAAAGAATCATATTGGTTAGAATTATTTGGAGAACGAGTAGAAAAATCTCTTTGAGTAATAAGTTGAGAAACTGAAAACAATCTGAATACTGGTAATGACAGTAATATTATAATGATTAAGCCACTTGATGATGGGCATTAAAATCGACAAACACCGAGATTTTCGCAGATGAATGTAGAGACAAAGATAAAAAGGCATTTCTATACTGTCAGATATTTTGTCTAACATGCTGCAGTCCTGAGAAGTGGAGCCTTAAAGGAAAAACGGATAACTAATAAAGTGTAATTATTAGTCAAAAGTAGATGAAAGAATCACCTGAGGAGTCAAGAGACGATTCCGTTGTCATTGGAAGATTTACTCAGATATAAACACCAACGCCTTGCATATGTACCCTAGTGTCCTTTCGACAAAGAAAAAGCTATCCTGGACAGGGTACTCAAAATTAGCATTTAGTTTTATTTATAAATATGCATTTTTTTTATATATTTATCAAAGCTGTTGCGATTTGTTTGAAATTCAAACGTATTGACTATTTTCAGATAAATTTGCTTCTATCGGATGCCTTTCCCTTTTAGTCAGTTTCTGGGAAGAGATCCAAAAATGGGTTGTCTGACAAAACAAACTTTCTGTTCTGATTCTGTTTTTCGGCTTGTGATAAATTGCTGGGAAAAACGAATGCAAAAGTTGCAGCAGTTTCCTAATTCATTCATCTTCTCTAACGTGATGCTTACCATTGGCATTCATTTTATTCTGACCTCTCTCTCCTCCCTTGCTCTCTCTCTCTCTCTCTCCTCTCTTTCTCTTTCTCACTTTCTCTCTCTCTCTCTCTCTCTCTCTCTCTATCTACCTATCTATCTATCTATTTCTCTCTCGCTCTCACATGTGTGTGGGAATGCGTGTATGTGAATATGTGCGTAAGTGTGTGATATGAGCATTTGACCAATTGATTTGTTGCGCGCATCGCTTCCGCTCCTACCCGCATCGGACAGATAAAGTAATATTTGAGACTGGCAAGCAAATATAATCGGGTAAATTTATGGTGTCGAAGTCTGCCAATTCATTGCTTTTGTATTGCTCATCTGTACCAAGTTTATTTTCGGCTATTCACTTCTGTGCTTCAGAGGAAGCAGAAGGAGTGATCGATTCCATGATTTGAACGCAGTTTGAGCAAAGAAACAAAATGACTAAAAACAAAAAATATTCTAAAACTGATTTTACAATATATAATTCCGTCAAATGAGAAAGGTCAACGAGGAAATATACTAATTCATTATAAGCAAATTACAATAGAAAATAGTCATTATCAATTTGATTAGAACTTAGTCAGATGTATATTTCAAACAAATTAGATTCGGAAAATAAATTTAAATAAAATATACATTTGTATGGATGTACAAATTAATTTTCAGGTTCGTGTAAATTCTTAACGGGAAAAAATAGTTTTAATTATCAAAGATAAAAAAGCTATGGGTTTATACCTGTCCTCAGGAATATTATAAATTAGATGTGTGTCAATATTTTGCAAAGACTAAATTCTAATATTTCTTGTATTCGACATTTTACAAATCCAATCCAATATCAACGGAAACATCTCTCAGCTCCAATTAAAACAGTTTTATTAAGCTTTTCTTCTGTGCTTAACTGAGCCAGAATATGTTCGTTTGCAAAACCTTTGAGTTATTGATCACTACCTCTAATGGAATCCTAGAACAGATTTTTCATGTGTGTGTGTCTGCAACTATGTTGTATTTTATTATGCAAGTCAAGTTTTTCAGAATACTGTTACTATCATTTAATCGACACTGGTAAAATTCTCACAATAAATATGCTATATGAACTTATGTCCGTATTATAGGTAAAAATATTTTAAATCAAATAGTTACAATTACTTATTGATGATGTCAAATATTATAATGCAACTCGTATAGTGAAATCAGTTTTTAAATGTTCAGAATCTAAATATAACTGTTGAAATTAACTATGAATGGAAAACGGTAATAGAATTCCACTTTAGCGCTAATTTAATATAAATTCCGCTTAAGTGTAATTATAACGATTAATTCCAATAGCATAGTTACTTATATTTATTTTTTTCATTCAAATTTATAAAGATTACCATCGGTCGTAAAACGGAGATAACCTCAAAAAAGAAACAAGATATTGTAAAGTTATTGAGTGTTGGTAATATAAAATGGAAAATGAGAAAAATTAATGAATAATTACAGAACAAATAAAAACAATTAAATCATTGAAAAGATAAAAGCATGAAATCGTTGCTTTAAGAATGTTACAAAAAGAGATTTGATAAGAATTAAAAGAGTAATAAGGATTGGATTGACCAGCAAGAAAATATTTCAATAAATTTACGTTTTGAATAGAAACAGAGAAAAATTGCCGACTATTACGAATATTGGCTAGAATTATGATATAGAAAAGATTATTGAAACAAAGAAGATTACTCTGGGAAAGAATAAAGCTGCTGCAAGCAATTTTAAATATGAGTGAGAAGAAAATTTAACAGAATCAATGACCTTATAGAATGTCATGAAGCTTTAATACATAGAATAATAAAATAATTACTTATTGAAATATATAATATATTCCGGTCTAGACTGTTACATTAATTTCCTATTAATGACCTTAGAAAAGGCATCATTTTATATTTTCTCTCATTCCATCCATAGGTTAAGTAGCAGAGTAGACTAAACTCTCGTCTTGGACGGTAAAGAGTTTAAGAGAAAGAAAACTTTGAATTTATAACCATTAAGAAGGCCTTAAAAACCTTAAACCTTCTCCTTTATGGCAATTCACAGATATTAAAGAAAAGGAATCTATGGATAAAATACATCCTAAAGGAGCTTGGAAAGAATTGAGACATTGGGTTAATCAAATATGTTTGTATGGCTAGATCATTTGTATTTATTTATAAATACATTTTTTACGTTGCACTTTTTATAAGAAACAGTGACATCACCAAAAAAACTATCAATATTTTTTTAAGAATAGATTTTACAATCTGAACTTCATTTCGAATATTTTAAGAAAAGATTGAGATGCAAAACCAGCTTTTATTACTGAGAATGTTCGACGTGTCAAAGATGGTTTGTATAGTTTTGTGCGCGACTTTGTTTTATTATCTGATAGACCAGTTTAAATTGATAAAAATTAACTTTATATGATACGGGAAATAGAGAGCATACTCAAAATATCAAATTTATCAAATTATTAGTACAAACTTAGTTATATTAGTCGCTTTGATGTGTGCCTACCACACCCGATAAAACAAAAAAGTCCTAATGAACATTATTTCCATGCGCAATCAACTCCTTAAGTTTAACGAAAACATTCCGTTGTTTTTTTAAAGAAATTGCAATAAAAGTTGCAAACTTGACGACAAAGTAGAAAGAAGGAATCAAATGTTTAGCAGAATTAAGAAATGTTTGTTATTTTTCTGAAGCAAATGATTTTGTCTGTATGGTAGAAATGACAAAGGCTTTCTAATATGGACCCTTTCGTCAGCTAAAAAAAATACTATTCCCACATGTTTAAGTGGGAACAGTATTTTTTTTATTATTTTTTTTTTTTGACAATCGCTGTCATTGAAACAATCAAACCTTAATTAGTTAACAGAAAATGTGAAATGATATGCCATTATCAAGTTCTTCGTTATTTTGTGACATGACAAAAATTGGTAAACCTCGGTTGGTAAATTTCGCTTATGCAACCTTCAGTTTATCATTTGGTCCGGTCTTTACAGAAATCTCAAATAAATAAAAAAATCTTCATTTCACATAAAAAAGTATTTATTTTTCCACGCCATCTTTTTATTTATCAAGGCAGTTAATTCTGAAGTGGATATTGACCACTTTTCTGTACACACACACACACACACACACACACACACACACACACACGTGCCTGTGTGTGTATCTGGGTGTGTGTGTGTGAGCCGTAACAATATCTGTATGATACAAACAATTTCATTTTAAACAATATACTATAAAAGAATAAACTCGCATTAAATAAAACATATTTCAACACATAGGATGCCATTTTCAAATGTGTACAGAATACTGTAAATGCGTGTAAACTTCTTGAATTGAAATAAACATTGAATTTAATACGAAGAATTCATTAACGAAAAACGGACTTGTTTGTCAAATAGCTTTTTGTCGGTGCCCTTGTGTTGTTGTATATGTTGTAAACAAAATTTGAACAATTGACTTTGTGTGTACTTAAAAATACGTGATGCCGATTTTCCACTTTTTAATCTCATCCACTCTTATAGTCTGCCGGATATGATATTGGGAGGTGGAGACATTATCAGTATTGTTTTGGGGCTTGCCTAGGAGACAATCCGTTTTTAGAAATTGGATCAAGGTTTATCTTCTCACGGTGTCATGGCTCCAGATTACTGTATTGTATCAAATTTAGAAAAAAGATATGTCATTAAGAAAATGATTTTAGATATGAATTTGTACTTTCTCGTTCACTCGGCTTGAAAATCATAAATTTTTCCACCTAAAAAAACACGAAAAACATTGATTTAAAACATCCATATAACTTTTTTTTAATTTAATGATATATAAATCATGCCAATCAAAGCATATTTAGACCGAAATTTTTATATTATAATCAGGTATTGAAAATAACACGGGTTTACCGTAAATGTAAGATACACAAATATTCCTACAAGTTGTATAAGGTGTAGAGGGTAACTGAAACAATCTAATTGCAAAACTATATCTACAGAATATTAACATCTAACTCATTTTTAGTATTCGAAATTCTATAAGTCAATGATTACTTCTTCATCATTAGTATATACATGTAAATTAGATATTAGATACTTACGCCTGTATACAAATATAGATTTAATATTATATATATATATATATATATATATATATATATATATATATATATATATATATGAAAAAAATATGGAAAAAACAAAAATCCTAATATGCAAATATGCTGTATTAATGTTATTTCAATGTCGACGTCAGACGTTTCGGTCTAGTAGACCTTCTTCAGGACATAGTTATTAAAACATAATAAACATTAGACGATATTCAAGTCAACATGAAAAAGACGATAGACATAAGAGTAAGTGTAAAATATCATCGTTTTTTTTTCCCATTTTTTTTTCTCGGGTTATCAGCCCTGAATAACAAATTTTCCTTCTGAAAATTAAAAAGCGTACAAAAAAGGGCAGACAACAGTCAAAAGGGGGGCCAAACTTTCTCCTGTTGCTCACAAAGGGAAAACAGTTTTTTAAAACCCCAAGTTTTATTTTTTTATGTTTATTGATTATTTAAATTTTAAAAAAATGTTTTGAAAAGTTCAAAACCATAAGTTTGATATATAGAGATATACATTTGGGAAAATTTGTTGATCCCCTTTTCAATCCTCATCAATCAAAGACCCAAAAACCAAATAAATAAATAAAAAAGGGCCCCGAAAAAAACAGATTTAAAAAAACGATTCTGATTTTTTTTTTTTGGACAGTTTAAAGGGGGGAAATTTTTACCATTTTAAACCGTAAAAAGGGTTAAAATTAAGGTAAAAAATCCAAACAATTAGACAAAATGTTTTACATAAAAAACATTTTGAATCTAAATTCTCTCTTTTTCCGAGTGTTAGACAAACTAGAATAAATTTAAAATTGGCTAAAAAAAAAAAAAAAAAAAAACACTGCAAATAAAACATAAAATAATTAAACAAAATACCCCACAGTTCAACTGATTTTTCCTTATTGTTTTTAAAATACTGAAATTCATTTTAAAAAAAAATTTGTTTTGGGTTTTAAAATTGATCCTTTTTTAGTTTGTTTTTTTTTTTTTTCCGGCTTTTCCTATTTAATTTTTCCTAAAAGGGCA